CTTATTAAAATGAGAGACATCAATGGGTCCTTCTTAAAATGATGACTCTTGATAGAGATAAAATTCCCTTACCCTTAACCTCCTCTGAGGAGTGGTAATCCTATCTTTGAATGGATGCTCAAACATGGAAAACATAATATTACCTAATAGGAAATTTTATGTACATGCCTGATCATTCTTTGGGTGTAAATCACCAAGTGCCTCATCATAAATATGTGTACCGTAATACGTGTAGCACTGCTACTGCCACTCCACACAAGACAAGTCCCTCAGACTGCTACACAGGCACATCACTATTAGGTTGCTAAAGGCATAAACACTTGCAAACTAATGTAAAAGAAGAAGAACTTCCACTCTTACCTTATAAAACACCAGTAACTACATGACCCAGCCCAACCTTTGTGCCAATGAGGCATGCACAAGTTTATTCGATTCTACATAAGAGGTTGGACAGGCATATCTTTCATTAAGGTGGTTGGTTATTCTAGTGAGGGTATTACTGCTACAAGCCTGACTTATGACATAATCCAAAGAGATGTAACCTGTCCAGTAGAAATAATGAACAGTGTGGCATTATAACTCATCAGACTCCTATGTCTTAAGGCAGACCATGAACTCTAGACTCTCCTTTTGAATGGGGATTGTTAGGAAGGGGTGAGTGATCTTTGGATTCCCATCAGTCATCATGACCTAAGGTTTTCTGAGGAAACCTCCAAAAACCTGGGTTCACATATTCAGGGTTCACTCCTAAATGGTGCCAAGTTTTAAAAGACATACCTCTGCCATTTTGTGATTCCAGCCACCATGACCCTCCTGCATTGTGCGTAACTCATCTACTGTTACAACAACTCGAACTCGCTCCCCGACTGAGAATGGAACATGACGAGGAGATGTGGGAATTCCAACCTCTCCACTACTGCCAGACTCTGTAAGAATAAGATTTCCAAGGAGCTTAAAATCATTATTATACAACTTCTTACAACAATACACTAAATGGTTCATGTATATCTAGTGTATAGTATCTGTCCACTTAGCCTTGGCACAAAGGAATATTTCTTTTTAGTACGGTAAATATACAAACTGTTACCATACAATTTCCTCGCCAAATCTATGACTGTATGTACTACTTTTATTTCTTATGATTTTCTCGTTCAATGTTTGGAAAGATGATTGACCACCAAATATCACACACTGCTGTGTCATGAAGCTTTTACACTGGTAGAGTGAACTGCCACATACACAACAATCCCCACTCTGAGAAGTCATGCACAGAACATATAGCCCTATTCATTTCACAGGCTTTAGAGAATACAGGTACTGTACAGTACTGTAATGTACAACCTTTGACACAGAATACACATTACAGTATCATTTATTTTATTAATTCTGTGCTTACAACTGTTGCATTAACTGGAGGTACCACTAGTCTGCTAAATAAAATGTATTGGAATATCAAGACCTTGCCTATCTGCACTACACAGTGTATATCTTTCTAGATATGAATATGAAAGACAATTTTAGCAGAAAAACAATTTGTACTGGTTACATGTTAAGACTTCTTCAAGGGACAAGAGAGTGGGCAATAAAGCCTTAAATTCTGTAGTCCTTTTAAAAATTCAATAGCACACTAAAAGAGGCAATGACGAAAATATATTAGATTCCATATAAAGTCTTGCAACACTTCCAAGGATACACCAATGTGACTGATACACAGTACTTCAAGTTGTATTTAGCCAATGAATTATATACTGTGCTGTACAGGTGCTCCTCTACTTAAGAACGTTCAACTTACAAACTTTCAGAGATACAAACATCATCACTGAGGGGGGTTACCTGTCAGAACAGGTGTTTAATGTGGATGAGACTGGATTATTTTGAAGAAAATTCCAGATAGAACAAACATTACCTAAGAGGAGAAGAGTGAGCCAGGCTTTAAGGCTGTATTAAAGGGTATAGCTGTACTAAATATCCATAATCTTTTCATTTTTTACAATATGTTTGGCAACTACAAGAGTAGAGTTGGACTTACAAACAAGCCTCAGGAATGCAACTCGTTCGTAAGTAGAGGAGCACCTGTACAGTATTTACATACACTTCCTTGCACACTAAACTTACCTTCTTGTTTGCCAAGTACAGGGAGTTGTTGTGTATAAACATGACCATTTGTAGCCGCCCATAGAACCTTTAGATCAACTTTTCCTTTGTGTCCAACTCTGTACACATTGGTTGACCCACACACCCAGATTACATTGGCTACAGATCTTCCAGACTCATTATCCCACCCTCGGATATCCGTTACTCGGCCACACTTTCCTGAAAGAGATATCAACAACATATATTCCAAATAAAATTTGTGCAATTTAAACCTGTATGTAAGATGACCAATGAAGGATAATAAAATATCTAACATAAGGAGTAGATTTTCCATATTTTCTTTTAAAGAAACAATTTTCACATATGGTACAGTACCCCAATATCAGGTTGTGCAGATTAGCAGTGCCCAGCAGCCCAGTCATACCTGGACTAGAGGTCAGGAAAGTAATTTTTTATGTTCATGTGTCTGGCACTTACAAGGCCAAACAAGCTAATATTTTGAGAGGAAAATGCCTAGATGGAAAATTGTCAGGTGCTGTGTGACCCCATCTCACTGTACATGTTTAACCAGGAAGGTCTTCCAACCGGCCATTTGTTATCAGAGTACAGTACCAGATAGTGACCTATGTCAGGTCCAGGTAATTTATTTCTACATTACTCCGTCAATCTGCCTCTGGTCTGCTGGTGTCAAGTTATCAACATTTCAAAGGAACAACCAAGCTGAGAGACTGTAGACAAGAAGTAATCTCACATAACAAGTGTTACCACCAGATTATAGGGAGGAGTGGTAGTTAGACAGGTAACCACTGGTGCTGTCTCCCCTTCCCACACACCTTGCAGGTGTGAGGTGGGGTGACAGGGTTGCCGCCACTGACACCATTTAGCCTGACACAAATGATCTGTGAGTTGATAGCTACAATAAATTTTAATGTTTTAAGTGTTTATTTAACTTTTCCCATGAAAAATCCGGGCAAGCATATTTCCTAAAAATATTCATCAGGACAAGTAAACAAAATGTCTGGGCAAATAAATTTCAAAAGTCACTTCCCCGGGTCTACCGTAGTAAATGTTCCGGATAATCTAGGCAGCCCGCAAAAAAATACTGGCAAAATACTCCCTCCCCAGAATCTCAGCCAAATTCAAACAGATCTCTTAATTGGAGTGTTCTAAATCAAAGAAGACATTGGATTAAAAAAAAAGGACAGGAATTATTTATGAATCAAGCTACATAAGACATCTAAAACGATGATTAAATGCACTGGCATTACTATAAAGTTAACAGCATTTAAATCTCCATATTGCTGAAAGTGGTACAATACAGATATATCAATGTCTGTTTATTTATCTAACTGGGGGTGCAACAAGTATAGCATGCATTAAGAAATATTTAATTTGATTTATCACCTCGTGTTGAGTGGGAAAATGAATGAACATTCCCTCACCACAATCAGTAAATATAAAATATTAAGTACATAAACAGATAAATAGTGTAGGTATACAGCACAAAATTATAGAAATATAATGTACCCTACCTTCCCCACCATCTTGATTGCCCCAGTCCCAGTCAGGTCCTCTGATGACTTTGGCCCCCACAAAAATACCTTGCAATGGGATTTTCTCTGCATTCTTTCTCTGGCCCACCTCAATCCTAAAGAAATAAATAAAAAGTAAACAAAAAATACAGTACAGTATAACATCCCTTTGAACTACACACAAAAGAAAAATAGATACAGTACTGTGTATATAAAATAAAAAACATAGAAAGTGGATAAAAATTTTAATATTTTACATAATTTTGCATACACGGTACTGTATAAGAAAGTAAAAATGGGTGTATACAAAGCCTTTTATGTACAAGGAGGCATTGTGGTGGCACTGCACTCAACCACCTTAACTTTCCCAACTTGTAAAGTTTGATTGAACTGGTGAACCTTTGGACAGAGGCAAGTGCTGCATCTACATGGCTCCCGCTCTCTAATTTGTGAGTTTGATATGACACAAAGAACCAATTCAGACCTTAATTTAGTGGGAAGGACTGGGGGTGCACATGCCCATTTAGCAGAGATAATTATATGTTCAAGATCATTAAGTAAGGAGAAAGGAGCCACAAGTCAACTGGGATTACCCAAGACATTCTTTGTGGTGTACAGTACTACACAAAAATCCCATTTAAGGAAATTCATCACATGGGTGTAAAAAGACCAATGTCTCTTTTTAAGTGATTTAGTAGTTAAAGTGTTTCACAAAGTGGGAGGAATTAGGTAGAATTCCACTGTAAAAGACAGACATTATAAAAGGACAATCGCAGAAATAAATAACCGAGCCACATGTGCACCTCACAGCCCTATCACTCAACCTTGTACTGTATACTTCTTCACTGTTCTTGTTTTCACCTCTTACTATTCAGCCCTTGCACACTACCCAACTTTTATATACAGTATATAATCCCACTTTCACTGGGAAATGATAAAACTTGCAACATTTACTATCAAGGCCCCAGTATAAGCACATAACCCTGACAGATATTTAAAGCCTAGAATTATCAACACCAATTAAGAGGTGCAGACATGCCCAATAAAAGAACTGCAGCCAGCACTTTATAACAATACTACTGTATTGAAAAAATAATAACAATAATAAAACTTAAGTTACTTATCTAAATCCTACCAGGAAGAGAACCCAAGCTTCTCTCCAAGTCTTCCTAATACCTTCAACATGCAGGAGCCATCCTTACCCCTTTGACGCGACAGTTTCGTATCTAATGAAGGGGTGGCTTAGGTCGTGCTTGTCAGCCATGTAACAGGTAGTGCAGAGGTCATAATCGAAACAAGAGCTGCACTTCCATCGCATCCCAGCGATGGCTTGCCTTTTACAGCCATCACAGATGTGGTTTGGATGTTTTACACCTGTAGAAAGAATAAAGAATATATCACCAGTCACATTATAAAACCTGGTGTCTGGTGATGACTTCACCTAAAAATACAATACAGTACTGTTTTAAATTAAACAAATGCAGGTGGGTAGTAGGCAGCTATCAAACAGGGAGGAACTAGCTACAGCCTGGGAAGATATTGGAAGCATAATGTGTCGTCTAATGGTAGACTCTGCTGCCATATGGCAGCACAAAAATTGAGACCAAGTCCCAGGTTGCTGATCTGACTGACTTTCTGCCTCATTTACACACAAATGCAAGGTTTCATTTGTTTCTCCTACTTTGACAACACAGCATATATATCGTTTCTTGCTCTTGATCTGTTTTATTTTTTCCATTTGTGTATTTATTTATTTATTTGTATTTTTTGCCCCCCGGTGGGCTAATCCATGAAAAAAAAAAATGTATACTAGCACAGTACGGTGCAACAACAGCACAGAAATACAATTTTCTTGATTGGTGACTGACATCTTCATCAATGACAAAATCACGTACTGTACTGTATAAAGTTGCTGGCACAGCTATTTCTAGTTTAGCTTAATTTAATTTAAATTAATCAAAGAAAAATAATATTACAAGGAAATGCCAGCAGCAGCAGCGGTGGCGACAGCAGCAGCCTGTGTGGACGTCAGCGCTCGAGGATTCTGGATGCAGGGACCACAAGCCTTCTTTGATGTCAGGATATTCGACCCCATGGCCACATGTCACCGTATTGTCCCTTGAAGCTGAACACAAGAGGAACGAGAACGACAAGATTAAGTCGTATCGGAGAGAGTTCAGAATGTAGATCAAGGAAGCTACACTCTGGTGTTCAAAACCTCTAGTGGGATGGGGCCAAGTGCCAGACGCTTCTACACAAGACTGACGGTGGTGTTATCTGAGCAGCGCAGCAGCCCAGAAGCTACGTTACAGCCTGGTTGAGATGTCGACTGTCCTCCTCTCTGCTTAGGTCTGCATTGCTTTGCCTCAGAGGAACGAGATCTTCGGCCCCAAAGCTGACAACGACCGCAGACATTGACTATGAGGCAAGAGTCACTGAATGCCGCATAGATATGTGGCTCAACTAACTTAACACAGCTTGGGTAGCTACTTTAGTATTAGAATACAGTGACCCCTCGTTTAACGAACACCTCGGTTAACGTAATTTCGATTAACGAACTGCCTTCCATAAGGATCTTCAATTCGGTTAACGAAAAAAAATTCGGTTAACGAAGTTCTTACGAACCGACCTCAACATGTTTTCGCTTGCACTGACCGGGCAACCAGCTTTAGTATCAGTCCGCCAATACATTAATCGGTTCTAGGGCTTAAATTCCTTACTATTTTAGTAAATATCAAGAAGTTTATACTATTCAATAATTTTAAAAGTTTAATATTCAATTTTTTAGTCATTTTAACAATTATTGAACATAATTGAAGGTAAAGTGACTAGTTTAATGCGCGGCATCCAGCCTCTTAACACAGCAAACAGGAGTTAGTCTCTCTCTGTTTTCACTGGAGGTAACATCTTGCTTGAGACTCTCTTCAACTAAACGCTTTTTTTCTGTGTTTCCAAGCAAATTATTGGTCATTTTGAAATATATTTTACATATTGACAATATATAATGCAGTGCAGTGTTGATTTAAAGAAAATAATCTTGAATTACACCAGACAGCTAAAATTTTATGGGTGAAATGGCGCCATGGGATGACTTCTCTTCCACCCCAATGCCTTCTCTTCTTCCTTCTCCTCCACCCCCATTCTAAATCCCATCATCATCATCATCATCCAGGAGCCTTCTACATACACACCTCAAAGTAAGTGAACTTTTCTACCATTTTTGTTGAATTTAGGAAATTTTCGGTGAGCTGGAACCAATTACCCAAAAACCCATTGAAACAATGGTTTCGGTTAACGAACTTTTCGGTTAACGAACAACCTTCTGGAACGGATTGAGTTCGTTAACGGAGGGGTCACTGTATTTAATTTTAAGGTAATAAAATGGCAGCGAAGGTGTGGCTATTGGGGGAGGCTTGAGGCCATGTAAAAAAAAAAAATAGTACGTAGTAGTAGTAGAACAAACCTGCCAATAAATGGCAAATATAAACAAATGGATAAATATATACTTTTAGAAAGATGACAGAATTATCATGTGTAAAAACGGCACCTGTGGACGGTAGGGAGGGGTGGGGATAGTCAATGAAAAATACCGATCGATGTCAGTATGGTGGGGGAGGGAGCGTGGAGTTTAACCCTTGCTGGAGGATCAATGTATATAGCACTGTACACCATAATTTATGTACACAGGCCTTTTGATGCACATGGAGGGAGGGAGGACGAAGTACGGAAGAAACAGAGACCGGTGCAATGGGAGGAAACCCGCATGACATCTGCCACCAATATACTCTCTCTCTCTCTTTCTCTCAGCAATTACAAGAGTACTAATAAAAAGGAAAATATACAAATATGAACTACAGGAAGCACAGATAACCGAACATGAGATCAAAGTGGCGAAGACGATGTAAAAAAAAAAAAAAAATGAAAAAAGTACCCGGGTGGGGTGCTAATATAATGACGTGATAACATTTTTATGCTTTTATTTTATATTTCGCCAGTAGTTTGCTAGTTGTCTGATTCTGCCAGTTGCTTTCTTTAGAAAAATAATTAAAGTTATGGTTATGTTAGGTACAGTTTTCTTTCAAGTTATATTCACTAAAGATTACTGGAGACTCAGGTACAGTACATGTGCTTGTGTTGTTGTTTTCCGTGATGATATTGAGTTAATGATAATAATTTTAGTATTTTCATAGCGGGTATTGTCATATATGTGACCTAAAGCCACATATGGAATATTACCAATTTTCCATAATCATAAACACAAGCTGTTAAAAACCCCGAAGAACGTGAGAAAATAAGGGAAAAACAAGAAAGATAAGAAGAAAAGAACACCTGACGAATAAGAACAAAATCAATGTGTGTATCCCCCAAAATTATTATTATTCTTTTTTTAATCAGAGCAGAAAAAAGTGTGGGGACAACCGTGATGAAGGACAATATTGACAGACAAAGGTAAGTGATCAGCCCCCTCCCTCCCACGTAACAACTTGACCCACCACAAACGCCACTGCCCAGGGCCCTGGATGTGGCCAATTACGGGGCACGAGGCCTCTTCTCTGTGTGCCACTCTTCCGCTTCTGATTGGTCGAGAGTCCTACAATCCGCCCTCCTCCGTCCCTCCGTCCGGTCTACAGCAAGCGAGCGAGCGTGCGTCCGTCCTGTCGCAACTTTCAACATCCGGGTCGCTTCACGCATACACCCATACTCGCTCACTCTCAGCAAGGTGATATGATGCTTACCGTATAAGCTACCAGCCGAGCTTATAAGGTTCCCATTCTCAATGACTTGTATGAAAAATTTACTCCAACTGGTTTATAAGAACGAAAGAAAAAGGGGGAGAGGGAAGGAAAGGTTATAATAAGGTAAAAAGGCAGAAGAAAATATATGGAGAAAGAAAGAAGGAAGATTAAGGAAAAGGGAAGAGGAGAGGCATTAATCAAGAGGGGAGAGGAAGGGGAGGAGAAAGGTCTGTATAAAATGGGAGGAAGAGGAGGGGAAGGAAGGAGAGTGAATAATAGAAGAGAAATGAATACCATGGAAGGAAGTTGGGGGAGAGTAAGGAAAGGTCGAAATGCGTAACAGAAACGATTGGGGAGGGAGGTGGAGGAAGGGGTAGCGAGTAAACAAACAATATAGACATACAGACCTGAGGGTGTGCGGGGTGGGGTAGAGGGGGGGGCATAATTTCCTTTCTGTTGCCGGAGAATGTGTGTGTGGGGGCAATAGTAGTACCGGACTGTCAGTGTTGCTAATGGAAGTACTATTCTTTTGACTGCTGGCCTGTATGTACAGTACAACCAAGAATAATCCACTTGTATAACGAGTCACGTACAGCTTCTCATTTGTATAACAACGATTCACGTACAGGACGTTACTTGTATAACAACGAGTCACGTACTGGACGTCACTTGCATAACAACGAGTCACACAAAAATTTACTTATAAAACAGGTCACTTACACAACAAGCGATGTATGTACCACATCAATGCTCTCATCCCATCCCCTTCCTCGGGTGCGACAAGACTAGGGTGACAAGGCTAGGGTGAAGGGTCAGTGTACTGTGCAGTACCTAGGATCGGTGTCGGCTAGGGCGAACCCCTCACACCCTGACTCTAACATTGCCAGCCAGGGAAGGTGGGAGAGATGGACATGTTTACTGGGAGCGTGTTATGAGAGATGAAGTGAGTGAGCGTGTGACTAACTGGTGCCACCACACAACACTGTCTGTGTCTGTTTGTCTGTCTTTGTCTTCAGCAGAACTAGAACTGGCCCTGAATTCAAATCCTCGCTTAAAGAATCAATATGTCAATAATATCAGGTGTGGGTCAGTCCTACTGGTAAAACCATATAACCGACCTGTCGTAAAAACCCAACTGGCTGGCTAATATCCCAATCACAGAGGGACGACACACCACACCTATCATATCTCAACCTGTGTGATGCTGTACAACACGCCAAGCCCACACAACTCACGCCCTGGGCAGACTCGTGGATTAGAACAACCATAACCTGAGCACAGGTAACACAAATACCTTATAATATATATATATATATATATATATATATAAAACTGCTGTAACATCACCATAAACCACTATGTCTGTTATTAGTGTACAATGCTGCTTCCTAGACGTCCATCACTCTCAAAGTACGTCCTTCACCCCATCATTCCCTATGGTTATGGCCTGGCACTTGACATTATTAGGGACCTGCCACGCTTTGCCATAAACAGATAAATTGTACCGGGATATTTCCCCCCCCCCCCACACACTCATCATTCTGTCACTTTATGTAACTTGCTGACAAAACCCATGACCCTTCAGGCTTTTACGCCCTAATGACTGATCATAAAAGGCAAGCATGAACTCCGCATGCT